AGGTGAATATGATATTTGTGGTGTTACTCTGAGTGTATATCCACACCGGGCGAGCTTAAAAAATATGCCCGGCCACGGTGGGATTCGAACCTACGACCATTTTTCAAGCTCGCCCGGTGTGGATATACACTCAGAGTAACACCACAAATATCATATTCACCCGAGTACACTACACCAACACAGAAAAGAAAAAAATTAATATTACTAGAATACATTGGTATCGAAGGAACTAGATTCTGTTCCGAAATATCACTTACTCGAACCGTCCTGACCGCGTAGCTCAGTTGGAAGAGCATTGGGCTAGTATTCCAAAGGTCGTAAGTTCGAATCCCACCGTGGCCGGGCATATTTTTCAAGCTCGCCCGGTGTGGATATACACTCAGAGTAACACCACAAATATCATATTCACCTGAGTCATAGTTAATATAGGTCTTCTATATTAACTATGCCTGAGTACACTACACCAACACAGAAAAGAAAAAAATTCATATTCTACGGATGTAACTACAAGGACAGTGGTAGACAAGGGTAGTCGTTTCACCAGTGTTCACGTAGGCGGAATTACTCATTGTTTATTGCATGTCATTATAATTGTAATTGTAAACCACTGTCCTTGTAGTTACATCCGTAGAATAGTTTTAGTCACTTTACCTGTCGAAGACTGCAGACTGGCAGTCGAAAGCTCGTGTTTTAAATAAAAATTTACGATCAGAGAACGTTTCAGAAACTTTAAACTAACTTTATTTATACTGGATAGCTCTACCAGTCCTGAAGTCTTTCCCTTACTACAGAAGGAAACCTCAACTGCTAAACTAACTTCGTTTAGTTTATTGGATAGCTCTACCAGTTCTAAACTGAGAGCCATTGCTACAGAAGGAAATCTGAACCACTAAAATAACTTTATTTATACTGGACAGCTTTACGGGATAGCTTGAACTGTATAGCTCTACTGCAGAAGGAAACCTCAACTATTAAACTAACTTTATTTATACTGGGCAGCTTTGCCAGATAGCTTGAACTGGATAGCTCTACTGCAGAAGGAAACCTCGATTACTAAACTAACTTTACTTAAAATAATATCGGATATAGTTCTAACAGTTAAAAGTCGAGTAAGAACTCTTACTGGCCCAGTGTTGTATTACTACAGAAAGAAAACTAAACTAACTTTATTTATATTGGATAGCTATATCAGTTCTGCACTGTTATTCATATTTGCATTGTTGGTTCAGTGTTATTGCGCTACCACAGTACTTGGAGAAAACCTCCGGTGTTTGGTAGAGTCAAACTACACACGTAAAAACGCACAAGTTGTAACAAGTCTGCAAACAAGTTGTTACACGTCTGTTCACAAGCTGTCGACAAGTTGTGCTCGTACTGCTTGTTCCCAGTTTGTTGTAACAAGTTTGAAACAAGCTGTTAACAACTTGTAACAAGCTTGATGGCATTATCAGCCTTGTTGCAAGATTGTGCTAACAAGTTTGTTACAGCCATGATTTTTCAAGGATGTTACAAGGTTGTCAACACAAGGTTGTAACAATCTTGTTATATCAAGCATGTCACAGACTTGTCAGAACAACCTTGCAACAAGTCTGATAATATCGACAAGGTTGTTACAAGTTGTCAACAAGTTGTTCCAAACCTGTTGACAACTCGTGACAAGCAGTGCGAATACATCTTGTTAAGTTAAAACGTGAAAGGGGTCCTTATGACGTCATAATTGTAAAACAGAAGAATAAGTATTTCACAATATACATTTTATAGGATAATATCCGGCACTGAAGCAGCTCGGTTAAGTAATTTTGTGAAAATTTTATGTCAATAAATTTTAAGGGCCTTTGT